GGTTAATAAAAGAAACAACGAGGAGGGAACATGTATTTAATTAATTAAGCCGCGTCAAGATACAAACTCCGAATGGCGATAAAGGAGCCAATAACGAAAAACATTAAGCCTTGTTAGGGATAAAAGTGCATGATAAAAAGTGACTAATGATGAGTTGGCAACTGAAAAACTGCATTTGAATACAACCACAAATTAAATCCTTTTAACACAAAGCATTGCATTTCTAATGGAATCAGTTACCTCCGCTAATCGGTATATCAAATAATGGAAATTGCAGCTCAACAAAAGCGAAAAATGTCAACATTTTGGATGAATGAAATCACCAAAGCGGGAATATGCTATTTATAGTTTTTTAGCAAATTACTCTTTATTTAGGCGCTGACAAAGGCGAATATTGAATTAGTGCACATATGGTGAAATGCAATAAAAGGAGGTTTAAAGCCAGAAAGTGCCAGTTGAGCGGAGATCGTTACTGCAGCCAGTTGTTGCGACCAAAACTGAGAATTTATTCAATAACTAAATATAAATTAAAGTGAAATGTCGACCACCTTCACCATCAATGGGCAACCGTACACGGGTATGAAACGACACCTGGCATTCGATCCTTTAGGTGCTATGAGTATCCTCTCCTTACCAATAAACCGCTTTCTGTGCCAGTTAACCTAACCGACCTGCCACCGGACATAACTCTGAACACCTTCATCCGGGAGCACGCCCAGCTGACGGCCACCAAGTTCATGTGCCTGGAGGGAGGATGTGGAGCTTGTGTTTGCGCAGTGAGCGATGGGAAGAGCACCTGGACAGTGAATTCGGTGGGTGGTGGGGCAGCCAGATCCTTGCAGCTCTAACTATGCACCTCGTCCGTCGCCTTTCAGTGCCTCAAGCTGCTGAACACCTGTGTCCAGCTGGAGATCATTACCTGCGAGGGACTGGGCAACCAGATAAGTGGCTACCATCCGATTCAGAAGCGGCTGGCCAAGATGAACGGCACCCAGTGCGGCTTCTGCTCGCCGGGATTCGTGATGAACATGTATGGCTTGATGGAGCAGCATGGCGGCAGAGTGACCATGGAGCAGGTGGAGAACTCCTTCGGTGGAAACATTTGTCGCTGCACTGGATACCGTCCCATTCTGGATGCCATGAAGTCCTTTGCGGTGGACAGCACTGTTGCAGTATCCCAAGAGAGTGTTGATATAGAGGATCTCAATCTGAAGGCCAGAAACTGTCCAAGGACGGGAAAAGCCTGCATGGGTACGTGTAGGCAATCCAAACTAATCTTCGAGGATGGATCCCAGTGGTGCTGGCCAAGCACCCTGGCGGAATTATTCGAGGCACTGGAAAACGTCGGCAACTCGGATGAATTCATGCTGGTTGGAGGTAACACGGCTCATGGTGTTTATAGGAGATCCCCGGACATAAAGCACTTCATTGATGTGAATGGAGTGGAGGATTTGCATCGGTACAGCTCGGATAAAGAAAGCCTAACATTGGGGGCTAATCTCAGCCTGACCGAAACCATGGAAATAATACGAAGTACTTCCAAACAACCAGGATTTGAGTATCTTGAGGTCCTGTGGCACCACATCGACCTAATTGCCAATGTTCCGGTTCGAAATGTACGTAAACTGATATCGTTTTAGGCCAGTTTAATATTTTAAGTTTCAGACGGGCACTTTGGCAGGCAATATCTGCACCAAAAAGGAGCATCCCGAGTTCCCATCAGATATATTTATATCCTTCGAAGCTCTAAATGTCAAGGTTATTGCCATGAAAGCTGTCGATGACGAAGAAGAAATGACTCTAGAGCAATTTTTGGGTGAACAGGACAGAAAAATGTTGGTCAAGGCTTTCATACTGCCTAGCTATCCCAGGGACACGTATATTTACGACTCCTTCAAGGTAAAACCAGTGAGAAAATTTAAAATATATTCATTTTGTAAAACTATTCACTAACCCTTAGATCATGCCACGGGCTCAAAATGCCCATGCCTATGTCAATGCGGGATTTCTTCTGGAATTGGATGGCAACTCCAAGGTGAAATCTGCCCGTATTTGCTTTGGAGGAATTAGACCGGACTTCATTCATGCCACAGATATTGAACAGTTAATGGTGGGTCACAGTCCCTACGAGTCCGATTTGGTGGAACAAATATTCAGCAAGCTGGAGGGTCTGGTCAAACCGGACGAAGTTCTTCCCGATGCCAGTCCCGCCTACCGCTCCAAATTGGCCTGCGGACTGCTCTACAAGTTCCTCTTGAAACACGCACCCGATGCGGAGGTCAGTGGAAAGTTCAAGAGCGGCGGTGAGCTGCTCCAGCGGCCACTCTCCTCCGGCTTGCAGCTCTTCACGACCCAAAAGCAGACCTATCCCGTAACACAGGCCGTGCAGAAGCTGGAGGGCATGATCCAGTGCTCCGGCGAGGCCACCTACATGAATGATGTGCTGACCACTTCCAACTCCGTTTACTGCGCCTTTGTGGGCGCCACAAAGGTGGGAGCCACCGTCGATCAAATCGATGCTTCGGCAGCTCTCCAATATCCAGGAGTGGTGGCCTTTTACACTGCAAAGGACATTCCCGGCACGAATACTTTCTGTGAGCCCAGTTTTGGCTACGAAGCCGAGGAGATCTTTTGCTCCGGATTGGTGCGCCACTCGGAACAGCCAGTGGGTGTAATCGTGGCTCTCACTGCTGACCAAGCGCAAAGGGCCACTAAGTTGGTCAAGATTAGCTACAGCAATCCCAGCTCTGACTTCCAGTTGATGCCGAGCTTGAAGGATGTGTTCTGCTCCGACACTCCGGATCCATCTCGCATTATTCCCTTGGTCATATCAAAGCTAAAGGAAGTAAAGTTTTCTGACAAACCGGACTTGGAAGTGAGGGGCATCTTCGAGATGGGCCTGCAGTATCACTTCACCATGGAGCCGCAGACCACGATTATTATTCCCTTTGAAGATGGGCTCAAGGTCTTCTCGGCCACCCAATGGATTGACCAGACTCAATCAGTGATTGCTCATGCCCTGCAGATGAAAGCCAAGGATGTGCAACTAGAGGTGGCGCAAATTATTTAATCATTTTTCTCTAATTAACTGAGTAATTGCGTTACAGGTGCGCAGATTGGGGGGTGGATATGGCTGCAAAATATCCCGAGGAAACCAGGTAGCCTGCGCAGCCGCCTTGGCTGCTCATAAGCTGAATCGTCCCGTTCGCTTTGTCCAATCCCTGGAGTCCATGATGGATTGCAATGGAAAGAGGTGGGCCTGTCGCTGTGAGTATCAGTGTCACGTGAAGACCAGTGGCAGGATCGTCGGGCTGTCCAACGACTTCTACGAGGACGCTGGCTGGAACGCGAACGAGAGTCCTGTGCAAGGACACTCCACGTTCACAGCAGCCAACTGTTATGAATTCACCGATAGTAACTTCAAGCTGAGTGGTCATGCTGTTCTTACGGATGCCCCAAGTTCCACTTGGTGTCGTGCCCCTGGATCTGTGGAGGGCGTTGCTATGATGGAGAACATCATCGAGCACGTGGCTTTCGAGCTCCAGAAAGACCCAGCCGAAGTGCGACTAGCAAACATTAGCAGGAAGACTAAGATGGCCACGCTCCTTCCGGAGTTCCTCAAGACTAGGGAGTACTACTCCCGGAGGAAGGAGATCGAGCAGTTCAATGCCAACAACCGGTGGAAGAAAAGGGGCTTGGGCCTCTCCTTGATGGACTTCCCCATCATCTACATCGGACAGTTTCCAGCAACGGTGACTATTTACCATGTGGATGGCTCTGTTGTGGTTACTCATGGGGGCATTGAAATGGGCCAGGGTGAGTAAGCAGCTCTCCAATATGGGATTTTGGCTGATTACAACCTTCTACAACCTTAATAGGTATGAATACGAAGATAGCTCAAGTGGCGGCCTATACCCTGGGAATTGATTTGAGCTACGTGAAAGTGGAGTCCTCAACCACCATCAATGGAGCCAACTCAATGGTCACGGGCTACGCCATCGGTAGTGAGAGTGTCTGCTATGCCGTCCGTAAGACCTGCGAGACGCTCAACGCCCGCTTGAAGCCAGTGAGGAAGGCCAAGGCCACTTGGGTGGAGACCGTGGAGGCGGCCAATGCCCAGATGATCAATCTAATCGCGTCGGATCACTACAAAACCGGCGACATGCAGAACTACCACGTGCTGGGACTGGCCCTTTCCGAGTTGGAGATGGATGTGCTGACCGGCAACATTCTGATCAGGCGGGTGGACATCCTGGAGGATGCCGGCGAGAGCCTGAGTCCCTGGATAGATGTCGGCCAGGTGGAAGGTGCCTTCGTCATGGGCCTGGGCTACTGGCTCAGCGAACTGCTCGTCTACGAGGGCGACAACGGTCGCCTCCTGACCAACCGCACCTGGAACTACAAGCCCCTGGGTGCCAAGGACATTCCCATTGATTTCCGCGTCGAACTGGTCCACAATCCGCGACCAAGCAGTGCGGGATTCATGGGCTCAAAGGCCACCGGAGAGCCACCTTGCTGCTTGGCTGTCAGCGTAGTATTTGCACTGCAACAGGCTCTGCAATCAGCGCGCCAGGATGCAGGACTTCCTCGGGAGTGGCTTCGCTTGGGGGCACCTACAACTCCAGAGACTCTGCTGCTTAGTGCCGGACACCAGGTTTCGGAATTCAAGTTGAAATAGTGTCATTCATTTCATGTATCCAAATGGAAGTATAAAACCTGCAAATATTTTAGTCCAATAATATACATTTCACTACAAATACATATGTATTTACATGTATTTATAACCAACTAAAAATGTACTATACTTCCAATGCTTTTAATTTTATTCCACAAATCTTTTTTCTCACTGTACTATATCATTCAAAGCTTGATATTCCCGTTTTTCGCCTAAAGTTGTCTAACATGCAGAGCTTTCAAAATGATTTATTTGTTTCGAAAGCTCTGAATTCCGAACGCGAGAGAAAAAATAAATATTTTTCGCCGGCCGGCTAACTCATTCTCTATTCTCTTCGTGTTTATCGCGGCACTCTCTTTTATTTTTAGTGTACACGTGATTCGCCTTTCCCCTTAATTACAGTTTTTGTGGCGCTCGTCGCGAATTAAAAGCATATTATTTGCGAGGCTGCCTATTTGGAATAGTCATTATAATATATTATTACATTTAATACATACCTAGTCAAATTATTCGCATATGAAATCAAAGTGCAATCTCAGTCTAACTCAGTTAATTTTTTCTGTTGATAGAGTACTTTTGTGACTCAGCATTATTGGTTTTTTTTTCATTGCTGGTCTTTCGATACTCTAAAAGGTCATTTTATAACGTCTCTTGTACGAAATGCATTAAATGTCTGAAGCAATATTCCAAGCAAATTGTAGGGTATCTAATAGGCTTCTACTGCAGCCTTCCTTTCCCCAGCTATTTTTACAAACATCGACGCTTCACCGCCGCCGAAAATTGCCGACGAATTCGGCGGACCCAGTTTTTAGATTTTTGCAGTCGAGGCGCGGAGCAACCAGTCCACAATCAGCAATTAACGTCGATCGCGGAGCTCGACAAGCTACTCAAATCGTTGTTGGCTCTCACGAAGTGTGTGGAAACTAACTTTTGTTTACTTACGGCAGTCTAGAAAATCACAATCTAAAAACGCAGCAAGCTACTCGAGCCCCAATGTTTTGACCAGTCGAACAGCGACACTCGCAGCCAGCGGAGCAACCAGTGAGCAAGTGGAAAATAATGGAAAGCCTCTGGCAAATCACAGCTAATTGAATTATTTATAGAAAACACTTGAGCAGCTGACATTTAAGTTCTGGTTACCCCGTTTTGCTGGAAACTAACAGAATGACTACCAAATTCTCAATCAATGGGGTGCCCTACGCAGGTGAGTTGCAGCTACATTCGAATTTGGGCCAGAAATTAGTTCTGGGTGCTGGGTTTTCATAGCTTATCAGCAAACTTTAAAGTGGCATACGAGCACATACATGGGCACACAAAATACTTGAACTACTCCAATGAACGCAGGTGTATCATTAGATTTCAAAATCAACGTTAATCGGAATTACTTATGCATAAGTCTGGTAAGCAAATTGAAGTGCAAATTTGGGCCCATTGTTCGATGTTTTTGCTCACCTAAGCCCACATTCAGGTTTGCTTAATTAAGTATACACATAAATATACTCTGTACTCCACAGTGAATCTAAGCAACCTTCCACCGGACATCACCCTGAACACCTTCATCCGGGAGCACGCCCAGCTCACGGCCACCAAGTTCATGTGCCAGGAGGGAGGATGTGGCGCCTGCATTTGCGTGGTGCGCGACGGAAAGCGCAGCTGGGCAGTCAATTCGGTTGGAGCACACCCACTGCATCTTAGCCAATCGATCGCTAATGAATTACCTCTCCCTAGTGCCTCACTCTGCTGAATACGTGTGCCCAGCTGGAGATCGTGACCGCCGAGGGACTGGGCAATCAGCGCACCGGCTACAATCCCATCCAGAAGCGACTGGCCAAGATGAATGGCACCCAGTGCGGCTTCTGCTCGCCGGGATTCGTGATGAACATGTATGGGCTAATGGAGCAGAATGAGGGCAAGATCAGCATGGCGGAGGTGGAGAACTCCTTTGGTGGAAACATTTGTCGCTGCACGGGATATCGCCCCATTCTGGACGCCATGAAGTCCTTTGCGGTGGACAGCAACATTGCGATTACCGCCGAGTGCGGGGACATAGAGGATCTAAGGCCCCGGAACTGCCCAAAGACCGGACAAGCCTGCAGTGGCAGCTGCCTTCCGTCCACTCTGGTCTACGAAGATGGTGTTCAGTGGCACTGGCCCAAGAACCTTAGCGAACTGGTCGAGGCCCTGGACAAGGTGAAGGACTCAGAGGAGTTCATGCTGGTGGCTGGCAACACGGCTCATGGGGTCTACCGAAGATCGGCGGATATCAAGCACTTCATCGATGTGCGCGGAGTGGAGGAACTGCATCAGCACAGCAATGAGGGACAGCAATTGAAGCTGGGAGCTAATCTCAGTCTCACCGAGACCATGGAAATCATTCGCACTACTTCCAAGCAACCGGGATTCGAGTACTTGGAGGCTCTGTGGAACCACATTGACTTGATTGCCAATGTTCCAGTGCGAAACGTAAGTAGATTTGATTTGATTATAACTTGATTTGAAACTTTCCTCTCCCCTCCTTACAGTCTGGAACTTTGGCTGGCAATATTTCGATTAAAAAACAAAATCCCGAGTTCCCTTCGGATATCTTCATATCCTTTGAGGCCCTGAATGCCAAGGTGGTGGCTTTGAAAAGCGCTGCTGACGAGAAGGAAATGACCCTCTCGGAATATCTAAGCACAAATGACAGGAAGCTGGTGCTCAAGGCCTTTCTTCTTCCTGCCTACCCGAAGGATAAATACATTTACGACTCCTATAAGGTTTAATACTTGCGCACACTCTCGATTACACTTTCTAAAACTTAATCCTCCACAGATCATGCCTCGTGCCCAAAATGCCCATGCGTATGTCAACGCCGCTTTTCTCCTTGAATTGGAAGCCGATAACAAGGTGAAGTCTGCTCGAATTTGCTTCGGTGGAATCCGTCCAGATTTTACCCATGCCTCAGCTATTGAGAAACTGCTGGTGGGACAGAATCCCTACGCACCTACTCCGGTGGAGCAGACATTCACACAACTGGAGGACCTGATTAAGCCGGATGAAGTGCTGCCGGATGCCAGTCCCGCCTACCGTTCCAAGTTGGCATGCGGACTGCTCTACAAGTTCCTCCTGAAACACGCACCCGAGGCGGATGTGGGCGAGAAATTCCGAAGCGGAGGGCAGATCCTGCAGCGGCCACTTTCCTCTGGCTTGCAAGTGTTCCAGACCCAGAAGAAGAACTATCCCGTCACCCAAGCGGTGGAAAAAGTCGAGGGCATGATACAGTGCTCTGGAGAGGCCACCTACATGAACGACGTCCTGACCACTTCCAATGCGCTGCACTGCGCTTTCGTGGGGGCCACCAAGGTGGGGGCCACCATTGATTCCATCGACGCCTCCGAAGCCCTCAAACAACCTGGAGTGGTCGCCTTTTACAGTGCCAAAGACATTCCCGGCACCAATACTTTCTGTGAGCCCAGCTTTGGTTTCGAGGTGGAGGAGATCTTCTGCTCGGGATTGGTGCGCCACTCAGAGCAGCCCGTGGGTGTAATCGTGGCTCTCACTGCTGACCAGGCTCAAAGAGCTTCGAAGCTGGTGAGGATCAGCTACAGCAATCCCAGCTCCGACTTCAAGCTGCTGCCGAGCCTAGCAGATGTATTCGCATCGCCAACCCCGGATTCCTCTCGCATAGTGCCAGTATCGAAATCGGATTCCAAGAAGATCAAGTTCTCGGACCAGCCGGACAAAGAAGTGAGGGGCATCTTCCAGATGGGTCTGCAGTATCACTTCACCATGGAGCCCCAGACAACTGTGGCCATTCCGTTTGAAGATGGTCTCAAAATCTTTTCGGCCACCCAGTGGATGGATCACACCCAGTCTGTGATTGCCCATATGCTGCAGGTGAAGGCCAAGGATGTTCAGCTACAGGTATATAATGCATACATAATCAGTACTACTAACGCATTTAATTGATTCCTCATTTTTATATTCAGGTCCGTAGATTGGGCGGTGGCTATGGATCGAAGATAACCCGAGGCAATCAGGTGGCCTGCGCAGCTTCCCTGGTTGCATACAAGCTGAATCGTCCCGTTCGCTTCGTCCAATCCCTGGAGTCCATGATGGATGTCAATGGCAAGCGCTGGGCTTGTCGCTCCGACTACCAGTGCCACATCAAGGCGAATGGCAAGATTGTGGGCTTGACCAATGATTTCTACGAGGATGCTGGCTGGAGTCCTAATGAAAGTCCCATTGAGGGTCATTCGACCTTCACGGCCACCAATTGTTATGATTTGAGCGGAGATAACTTCAAAAACAACGGAAACGCCGTGCTAACTGATGCCCCCAGTTCCACTTGGTGTCGTGCTCCGGGATCTGTGGAGGGTATTGCCATGATGGAGAACATCATCGAGCATGTGGCCTTCGAAGTCCAGAGAGATCCGGCTGAAGTTCGCCTTGCCAACATTGCGGCGGGTAACAAGATATCCGAGTTGCTTCCCCAGTTCCTGGAGTCTAGGGAATACGCCCAGAGAAAACAAGAAATTGAGTCCCATAATGCCAAGAATCGCTGGACGAAACGAGGTCTTGGACTGGCGGTTATGGACTATCCCATTTTCTATTTTGGTCAGTACCCGGCTACTGTGGCCATCTATCATGTGGATGGCACTGTTGTGGTTACCCATGGAGGCATCGAAATGGGACAGGGTAAGTAATCAGCCCCTTAAGATGTCATTTCATTGACAACATGTTGATTTTCTTATAGGTATGAACACTAAGGTCGCTCAGGTGGCTGCCTACACCCTGGGCATCGATTTGGGCTTCATCAAGGTGGAGTCCTCCGACACCATCAATGGAGCCAATTCGATGGTCACCGGAGGAGCTGTTGGCAGTGAAAGTCTCTGCTATGCAGTTCGCAAGGCCTGTGAGACCTTAAACAGTCGCTTGGAGCCGGTGAAGAAGAAGGATGCCAGTTGGGTGGAGACAGTTGGAGCTGCCTATGGCAAATCGATAAACCTGATTGCCTCCGATCACTACAAGGAGGGCGATATGCAGAACTATCATATATACGGTCTGGCCCTAACCGAAGTAGAGCTGGATGTTCTAACCGGAAACAGTCAGATCAAACGTGTGGACATCCTGGAGGATGCCGGAGAGAGCTTGAGTCCCTACATAGACATCGGACAGATTGAGGGCGCCTTTGTCATGTGCCTGGGCTACTGGCTGACTGAGCAGCTGGTGTACGATCGGGAAACAGGTCGCCTGCTCACCAACCGCACCTGGAACTACAAGCCGCCGGGCGCCAAGGACATTCCCATCGATTTTCGCATTGAGCTGATTCAGAAGCCCAATCCCACTGGGGCGGGATTCATGCGGTCGAAGGCCACTGGAGAACCACCCTGCTGTTTGGCCGTGAGTGTGGTCTTCGCCCTGCGACAGGCCCTGGATTCAGCCCGCCAGGATGCGGGACTACCGCGCGAGTGGGTGCGTCTCGGTGCTCCCACAACTCCGGAAACTCTAGTGGTCAACGCAGGACATGAGGCCGCCAGTTTTAGGCTTAAGTAAATGCGGGGTTTCGGGGATTTTCTGCATCACTTATGCATAATATTGTTATATCTTCCTACATATGCTTGAAATATTTTTATTTCGGAATGCCTTTGGCTGCATTGTTATAATCATCTATAATCACAAATCTGCGATTATCGTTTAGACGTGACGTTCACAAGTCTTTTTGACTCTTTCATATTGTATTTTATCACAAATGATATCATATGTGAAGTTCTGGAAATAAAAACCCAAACGGATTTAGTATAGTTTTCTGTGCAGCTTCTGCTTGTATTACAAAACTTTCAATAAAGTGTAAAGCATCAGCGCGCTCCGTTTCCCTCAGTGTATGCTTTCGACGGCACTGTTGGAGCAGATCCAACCCGTTTAGCCTAATTAACAGGTAATCAGGTTTCAGCAGCGCTTTGAAATAGCAACGAATGGCCAAAAGTGCTCCATTCGACCAACGACTGTGCAGCGATGAGCATCAAGTTCAATGTGAATGGCTTTCCGTACGAGGTGCAGGCGGCTGACTATGCACCGGACACCACCCTCAACGCCTTTCTCCGGGAGCACCTGCACCTGACGGCCACCAAGTACATGTGCCTGGAGGGCGGCTGCGGCTCCTGCGTCTGCGTCATCCGCAGGCGCCACCCGGTCACCCAGGAGGTTCAGTCCCGGGCAGCCAACTCGGTAAGAAGTCGCTTTTCGGGGAGTGGCTTTCTCCACACCTGAATACGGCGAGCAATTTAAAGCTGAGCTGCAATTACTAGAATGGAAATATAATTAAACGATGGGTTACACCTGACCATTCCGCAGTGCCTGACTCTTCTGAACACCTGCGACGATGCGGAGATCATGACGGACGAGGGCCTGGGCAACCAGCAGAGTGGCTACCATCCCATTCAAAAGCGGCTGGCTCAGATGAATGGCACCCAGTGTGGCTACTGCTCGCCCGGATTCGTGATGAACATGTACGGTTTGCTGGAGCAGCATCGCGGACAGGTGAGCATGTCGCAGGTGGAGGACGCGTTCGGCGGAAACATCTGCCGCTGCACCGGCTATCGACCCATTCTGGACGCCATGAAGTCCTTCGCGGTGGACAGCAACATAGAGGTGCCGCCGGAATGTGTGGACATCGAGGACTCCTTCGAGCTGCTCTGCCCGCGAACTGGGCAATCCTGCAGGGGCAGCTGCTCGAGACCTCCTGTACGGGATCAAGGAGGTAGTCACTGGTACTGGCCAAAGTCCCTGACGGAGCTCTTCGGGTCCCTCGGTCAGGTGGCAAGCGGAGAACTCTACATGCTGGTGGCCGGGAACACCGCCCATGGAGTTTACCGGCGACCCAGGGACATCCGACACTTCATCGATGTGAACATGGTGCCGGAGCTGAGGCAGTACATCATTGAGACGGATCACCTGCTGCTGGGCGGGAATGTCACTCTCACAGATGCCATGCAGGTTTTCCTGCTGGCTGCCAAGAGGCCCGGATTCGAGTATTGTGCCCAGTTGTGGCAGCACTTCAACCTGATTGCCAATGTGCCGGTGCGAAATGTGAGTAGAGCGCTCCATAAGTCCAGAAACTCGTTTTCGCGCTTGGCAAAGATAAAGATTAGCGAAAGTAATAGCACTATTCACAACTGAATGCTCTTTCTTGCGCGGTTTATCTCAACACTCATCTAACAAAATACTTCAAGGCCAGTGCACTTTTCGATTTATTATGTCACCATATAAAAATTGTTCTTATACATTACGGAGCTACTTTAGCTCTTAAATGAAATGTATTGCCTTGTATTTTATTCTCCAGTGCTTAACAAAAGCAAACAACTTCTAGCTCAGACAACATTTTAGCTTCAAAACCCATTTTACTTTCCCAACATATATTAAGGTCGCTGCAGACACTGAAAGAAATTGTATTAGGAAAAATGTATTAAATTCGATCTTTTTACCCGTAGAGTAAAAGGGTATACTAGATTCGTTGAAAAGTATGTATATATATTCTTGATCAGGATCAGTAGCCGAGTCGATCTGGCCATGGCCGTCTATAGCATTCTATCTTGTTTTTTATTTTTTCTTCATTTTTCTCATGTTTTGCTTTTAATTTTTTTGTAATTTTTGTGATGTTATGATATTGTAGTAAATTCAATAAAATTAAAAATGTTCCAAGGCCGAACTTCTAAAGCCCATAACTCAACTAATCTTAATCGGATTTTGAAGTGGCATACCTCCAAATGTTTCTGGCGCAATTTTCTAAAAATCTCCATCCAAATTTAGAAACTTTTTTATATAATTTTATAATATTTTCCCCAATTTCTACCGGTATTCCAGAAAATTTTGAAATGTCTCGTTTGTACTTCCATTATCGTATGTGATAGTCGGGAACTCGACTATAGCATTTTATCTTGTTATTAATTAAATCATTTTTTTGAAATCTCCACAGAATGGCACACTGGCGGGCAACATTACTATCAAGAAGCAGCATTTTGAATTTCCCTCCGATGTGTTTATCACATTTGAGGCTTTGGATGTCCACGTCCTGGTCTACGACAATCCCAGTACCCAAAGGGTGATGAACCTGCTGTCGTATCTCAGCGATACAACCTCCAAACTAGTGCTTGGTGGTTTCATCCTCAAAGCCTATCCAAAGGACAGATTCCTGTTCAGATCTTATAAGGTGGATAAATAGGTTCCTTAATATACACGTTGAGTTGACTGAATTTTGTCTCCAAATAACAGATCCTGCCCAGAGCACAGAATGTTCATGCATATGTGAATGCAGGCTTTCTCATTGAATGGCAGGATATTCAGCGCAGGATCGTCCACTCCGCCCGTATATGTTTCGGCAACATCCGTCCAGATTACATACACGATGACCAACTGGAGCAACTGCTCCCTGGCAGGGATCTGTACGATCCCGCCACAGTTGCCCAGATATTTCAGCAACTTCCAGCTAGTCTGCAGCCGGAGGAGCGGCCACCGGAAGCCTCCCCGGAATATCGCCAGATGCTAGCCTGCTCCTTGCTCTACAAGTTTTTGCTGGCCACCGCACCCAAGGAGCGGGTTCGGGAACGTTTTCGCACTGGAGGCTTGCTTCTGGAGAGACCACTTTCCTCGGGAAGCCAGTCCTTCGAGACCATTAAGAAGAATTATCCGGTCACGCAGCCTGTACAGAAACTGGAAGGTACATCATTCCAGGAAGCCCTTTTTCGTATGTGGAATAATTTCCTAATTCTTAACTTTTTGTATTTCCAGGTCTCATTCAGTGCTCGGGCGAGGCCACGTATATGAACGACTTACTGACCACCTCGAATGCCGTCCATTGTGCCTTTGTAACTGCTAAACGAGTTGGTGCCACCATCGAGCAGATAGATCCTTCCGCTGCTCTCCAGTGCAAAGGCGTGGTGGCCTTCTATTCGGCCAAGGATATCCCAGGTGCCAACAACTTTGTTCTGACGGATCAGCTCACCCCTGAGGTTGACGAAGTCTTTGCTGCCGGGCGGGTCAAATATTTTGATCAGCCGTTGGGAGTCATCGCAGCTCTCACCCATGATGCGGCTGTCTATGCCGCCACATTGGTGGTGGTCACTTATGCTCGGGATCAGCGGAAGGTGTACACGACCATGAACCAAGTGCTAGCGGAAAAGCAAACCGATCGCATTGTGAGCAAGAGCAGGGATCCCGTGGAACCCCTGAAGATGCCTCCTCTTGCACCTGGCGATGTTCTCGGAAGGGGGATCCTGGAACTCGAATCACAATATCACTTTACCATGGAACCCCAAACAACGATCGTGGTGCCGTTGGATGACATTCTACAGGTATACTGTGCCACCCAATGGATGAACTCCACCCAAGGAGCGATCGCCCGCATGCTGAGGGTTAGTGTGAACTCCATTCAGCTCCAAGTTAGACGAGTGGGTGGGGCATACGGCGCAAAGGTCACTAGGGGCAATTTAGTGGCTTGCGCCACGGCCTTGGTTGCTTCGAAGCTGAGGAGACCTGCCAGATTTGTTCAGACCATAGAGTCCATGATGGAGACCCTGGGCAAACGATGGGCCTGCAGATCGGACTACGAGTTCCGAGCCCGAGCCAATGGATCTATCATCATGTTGACTAATAACTTCTATGAGGATGCCGGGTGTAATCTAAATGAAAACGTCGTTGACTTCCTGACTCTGCCAGTTCTGAGAAATGTTTACAACCTGACTGACTCGAACTATAGGACCCAAGGCAGTGCCATCAGAACGGATGCACCCAGCTCCACTTGGTGTCGAGCTCCCGGCACTGCGGAGGGTAAGTCAAAAGCCATTTTGCAAATGGTTATGAATAATTATTTACCTCTCGCATTCAAAGGAATCGCCATGACGGAAACCGCCTTGGAGCACATAGCCTTTACATGCCAGCTAGATCCTGCCGATGTTCGTTTGGTCAATCTTCAGCCCGGAAATAAAATGGTGCAGCTGCTGCCGAAGTTTCTGGCCTCCACGGAGTACCGCAAGCGGCGGGACCAGGTTAACTTATACAACTCCCAGAACCGATGGCGCAAACGAGGTCTGGGATTGGCCCTAATGAGTTTCCCGCTGAACACGATCGTGGCCTTCAACTATCCCGTCACGGTGGCCATCTATCAGGAGGACGGTTCGGTGGTGATCTCGCACGGAGGCATAGAGATTGGCCAAGGAGTGAACACCAAGGCGGCCCAGGTGGCAGCATTCGTGCTGGGGGTTCCGTTGGATCAGGTGAGAGTGGAGGCCAGCAATACTGTCAGCGGAGCCAACTCCATGCTGACGGCCAACTCGATGACCAGCGAGATGATCGGACTGGCAGTGAGAAAAGCCTGCGACACCCTGAACACGCGACTGGCTCCGGTGAAGGAAAGGCTCGGACCTCGGGCCACCTGGGTGCAGGTGCTCCAAGCGGCCTTTTTGCAGTCCGTCTTCCTCATCGCCACGGAATCTTATCGGTTGGGGGATATACCCAACTACAACATCTACGGGCTGGGTCTCACCGAACTGGAACTGGACATTCTGACTGGCAACCATCTGATCCGCCGTGTGGACATCCTAGAGGATGCTGGAGAGAGCCTGAGTCCACACATCGATGTGGGTCAAGTGGAGGGAGCCTTTGTGATGGGCTTGGGGTACTATCTCACCGAGCAGCTGGTTTACGATCGCCAGACAGGTCAGATCCTGACGAACCGCACCTGGAACTACCACCCGCCGGGAGCCAAGGACATCCCGATAGACTTTCGCATCGAGCTGCTCCAGAAGAGTCCCAACCCGGTGGGCTTCATGCGGTCCAAGGCCACGGGTGAGCCCGCTTTGTGTCTGGCTGTCGGAGCTCTGTTCGCCATGCAACACGCCATCCAGTCGGCCAGAAACGATGCGGGTCTTCCGAGGGAGTGGGTTCGCTTGGGGGCACCTACGACGCTGGAGACGGTCGTCCTTAACTCCGGAAGCCAGGTGGAAGCATTCGCCTTGCAATGAAAGGAAGTTCTGGTTTAGATTTTTCCCATTTTTCCTTGGTGCACTGCTACTACCCCAACTATTTATAAAAATAATGTAATTTTTGCTCACACATTTTTCATAATATTAAAATATTCTTACTGGAATCGTGTTGAATCCCGTTGAATCGCGTTACATAATTCCCCTTGGAGTTGTATACATACATGTATGTACATGAGTGTGTTGACGAAAGCTTTGGAATCATGATACCTCACTCTGTTTACAACACTAGTGCCCCTTATTCCGAACATTAATCTCGCCAACTTTTTGTTTAGAAATATGAGCAAAACAAAGCGTCCAAACAAGCCGAAAATGATAAAGCTCTCAGTTCCGAGAGAGAGAGTTTTAAACACCGGGCAGATAACGTTTCCGAGTGCTAAGATGATCTAATGCCGAATTGTGAGCGCAGTACAGAGCACGGTAGTTAAGAGCGGGGAGAGGTGAACTTGAACTTGGGCACGCCAGAATCTCTTGCGGGGAGCGAAGAGCCCATATATATGGGACTCCGGAAGGCCCAAGCCCTCAGTTGCTCGGAGATCGACGTGGACATCAAACGAAGCGGACAAGTGGACTCGTTGCCTTATATGGTGAAATAGCATAGTTTCCAGAACGCTCAATCAAGCAAATAGTTCTAAACCCCGCGTCAATTGAGGGCGAAAAGGCTGCAATTAATTTCACAACGACTCCCGGACGGCTTTTAACTGATTCGAGGACTTATATAAGGAACAGATAATGGCTGGAAGCATTACAATCAACGGCACCAGCCACGCAGGTGTGTATCCGTGTGTGGGCAGTTAATTGCCTGTGGATTGACGGGGCTGTCATCTACAAGATTGTAGAGACAACGAACTGGAACGCCAGCGTAGGAAAATTGTACTACGGAATACCTGCTAGTTATATGGGAGTTGCGAGCTGGTAAAAAGTTTCCTCTTCCTCCAAAACTGCATCGTCATGGTGATGGGGTATACTTATAACCATAATTATGGTAACCCAAGGAAAACAATATTAAGTATCTTCCCCGGAACTTCGAACTGGGTAAACAGGTGTTAGATTCTGCATTACAAAATGGCTCGTTTCCGAAACAGTTGTGCTAGTTGTTAATAGGGCACATTTCATCTGCTAATCAGAGCATTTCTATAAGCATTGAATATCAATTACAAACATTTTCTTTCAAAACGCGTAAAAGTTATTTGTATTTAGAAAACCCTAATAAAAGCTCAGCAATCGTTAGCTTGCGAGGAATGCATCGCAAAGTATTGTACTGACATGTAGTGAGGAGTTGGGCTGCTCGATAAGATAACTGGATTGTGTAGACACCGATTCCCTCGTTTGTTTGTACCCCTAGTTAATCTGGCTGCCCTGCCGGCGGATATCTCTCTGAACACCTTCATCCGGGAGTATGCCGGACTGACGGGCACGAAGTTCATGTGCCAGGAGGGCGGATGCGGCGTCTGCGTGTGCACCCTGACTGGGACTCATCCGGAGACCGGAGAGCCGCGCACCTGGGCGGTCAACTCGTGCCTCACGCTGCTGAACACGTGCTTGGGCCTGGAGGTGACCACCTCGGAGGGATTGGGCAACAAGCGGAGCGGCTACCATGCCATCCAGCAGCGACTGGCCAAGATGAACGGCACCCAGTGCGGCTACTGCTCGCCGGGAATCGTGATGAACATGTACGGGCTGCTGAAGTCAAAGGGCGGCAAGGTCACGATGGAGGAGGTGGAGAACTCCTTCGGAGGCAACATCTGCCGCTGCACTGGCTATCGTCCCATTCTCGACGCCATGAAGTCCTTCGCCGTGGACAGCAATATCCAGGTGCCTGCTGAGTGCATTGACATTGAGGACCTGAGCACCAAACAGTGTCCCAAGACGGGCCAAGCCTGCTCCGGCAGCTGCAAGAAGCAGCAGCCCAAGGGCAGCCAACTGTATCCGGATGGCAGCCGCTGGAGTTGGCCACAGAGTCTGGCGGAGCTCTTTGCCGCTCTGCAGGGAGCAGTCAAGGAGAAGCTGCCCTACATGCTGGTGGCGGGAAACACGGCCCACGGGGTCTACAGACGTTGTCCGGACATCAAGGCCTTCATCGATGTATCCGGCTTGGCGGAGCTCAAGGGTCACAAGCTAAGCACGGATAGCTCCTCCCTAACTCTCGGAGCAAATTTGAGCCTCAGCGAAACCATGGAGTTGTGCCTCCAATTGGAGAAGAAAAAGGGCTTCGAGTACTTGTCTCAGGTGTGGCAACACCTCGATTGGATCGCTAATGTTCCAGTGCGCAATGTAAGTCAAATCAAAGTGGTTTCTAAGCCCTCAAGCCTTATCTAATCGGCCAACAATGAAAACACCTTGAGTACCCTGTCTTTATCAACCCATTTCGCATTAACCCAGGCCGGCACCTTGGCGGGCAACCTGGCCATCAAGCATGCCCACCCGGAGTTCCCCTCGGATGTGTTCATCGTCCTGGAGGCCCTAGATGCCCAAGTGATTGTCCAGGAGGCGGTGGACAAGCAGCAGACTGTGAGCCTGGCACGCTATCTCGGCTCTTCCATGGAGGGAAAGATTATCCGTGGTCTGGTGCTGCGCGCGTATCCCAAGGAGCGTTTTGCATTTGACTCCTACAAGGTGAGTAATGTAATTTGTGAAGTGCAGTATTATTTCTTATCAACGAAGGAAGGCGACTTTGTTAATGGCTTGTACATATTCCAAATCCCTTCCCTTCCTTTATTTACAAATGATTTTAAATTAAAAACAAATCAACTTAACTCTGTTTTCAGATTATGCCCCGTGCCCAGAATGCCCATGCCTATGTGAATGCAGCTTTCCTCGTGGAATTCGCAGCGGACTCCACTGTGAAATCATCTCGCATTTGTTTCGGTGGCATCCATCCCGAATTCGTACATGCCACAGCGATTGAGCACTTGATTCAGGGTAAGAATCCCTTCCAGAATGGACTGGTGGAGAGGGCCTTCGGCCAGCTCTCGACCCTGCTCCAGCCCGATGCCGTTCTTCCGGATGCCTCACCCGTCTACCGACGCATGTTGGCCTGCGGTCTTTTCTACAAGTTCCTCCTAAAGGCAGCGGCTCAGCGAAAGCTGGGACTGGGCAGTCGATTCGCCACAGGCGGTGCCCTCCTCAAACGCCCGGTGTCAAGTGGCCAGCAGAGTTTCGAGACATTCCAGGAGCACTACCCGGTGACCAAGGCGACGGAGAAGCACGAGGGTCTGATCCAGTGCTCTGGCGAAGCCACCTACTCCAACGATCTGCCCACCCAGCACAACCAGTTGTGGGCTGCGTTCGTCACCGCGAAGAAGGTGGGCGCCAAGGTCACCAAAGTGGATACGCAGCCAGCTCTGGATCTACCCGGAGTGGTGGCATACCTCGATGCCAAGGACATTCCGGGACCCAATTATGTGGGGCCCAAATTAAGGGACGCGCACTTCTTCCCACAGGATGAGGAACTGTTCGCCGCAGGTCAAATTATGTTCTATGGTCAGCCCGTGGGCATGATCCTAGCCAACTCCAATTCGCTGGCCAATCGGGCCGCAGAGCTGGTGAAACTGACCTACGAGGGCGGAGCGGAAGAAATACTGCCCACCTTGAAGGCAGTTCTGGATAAAGTTGGATCCGAAGCTGGAAACAACAAGCGGTTCCAGCAACCCGTCAAGTCCTCCATCGATGTCCTCCAGCTGGAGGAACCCTTCGATGTGAGCTCCTCCGGTCAGCTGGATATGGGACTGCAGTACCACTACTACATGGAACCGCAGACGACAGTGGTTCTGCCCTTCGAGGGCGGCCTGCAGGTCTACTCGGCCACTCAGTGGATGGACCTCACCCAGGACACCATCGCGAATGTGCTGAACCTCAAGTCCAACGAAGTTCAGGTGAAGACGCGTCGTATTGGAGGGGGATATGGAGGCAAGGCCACTCGATGCAATGTGGCTGCCGCCGCTGCTGCCTTGGCTGCTCACAAGCTGAACAGACCCATTAGATTCGTCCAGTCCCTGGAGTCCATCATGACCAGTCTGGGCAAACGCTGGGCATTCCATTGCGACTACGATTTCTTCGTTCAGAAGTCCGGTAAAATCTCCGGCATCGTAAGTCGGTTCTACGAGGATGCTGGATATCTATCCAACGAATCGCCCATAGGCCATGCCGTTTTGCTGTCCAAGAATTGCTACGAGTTCAGCGACAACTACAAGCTGGATGGCTACTTAGTCTGCACGGATTCGCCGTCGAACACTCCCTGCCGTGCTCCTGGCTCCGTGGAAGGCATTGCGATGATGGAAAATATAATCGAGCACATCGCCTTCGAGACCGGCCTGGATCCGGCTGATGTGCGTGCTGCCAATTTGCTGCCCGCCCACAAAATGGGCGACATGATGCCGCGATTCCTGGAGAGCACCAAGTACAGGGAACGCAGGGCGGAGGTCGCTGCCCACAACAAGGAGAACCGCTGGCACAAGCGCGGCTTGGGTCTGTGTATCATGGAGTACCAGATCGGTTACTTTGGACAGTACCCCGCTACAGTGGCTATCTACCATAGCGATGGCACCGTGGTGGTGTCCCATGGAGGCATTGAGATGGGTCAAGGTGAGTGCTGAACTTGATGAACTTCAGGAGCTGGTCTCAAACTTTAGTATCTGTCCGCCAGGCATGAACACTAAGATCTCGCAGGTGGTGGGCCACACCCTGGGCATTCCGATGGAACAGATACGCATCGAGGCCAGCGATACCATCAACGGAGCCAACTCCATGGTCACCGGAGGGGCTGTGGGCAGTGAAACCCTCTGCTTTGCAGTCCGCAAGGCGTGCGAAACCCTTAACGAACGATTGAAGCCCGTGCGCGAGGAGCTGAAGCCGGAGAATTGGCAGGATCTCATCAAGGAGGCCTTCAACCGCAAGATCAATCTGATCGCCAGCGATCAGTGCAAGCAGGGCGACATGGATCCGTACTCCGTGTGCGGTCTCTGCCTAACCGAGGTGGAGCTGGATGTCCTCACCGGCAACTACATTGTGGGGCGAGTGGACATCCTGGAGGACACGGGCGAGAGTCTGAATCCCAATGTGGACATTGGCCAGATTGAGGGCGCCTTCATGATGGGCTTGGGCTACTGGACCAGCGAACAGGTGATTGCGGATCCCAAGACCGGCGAGTGTCTCACGAATCGCACCTGGACGTACAAGCCGCCAGGAGCGAAGGACATACCCACGGATCTGCGCATCGAGCTGCTGCCCAAGAGTCCCAACAAGGCAGGCTTCATGAGGTCCAAGGGTGAGTATCCACACCATGGCTGTGAACCCATCTAACTGGGAGTTCTTCTCCTCCAGCTACCGGAGAGCCAGCCATCTGTTTGTCCATCGCAGTCGCCTTTGCCCTGCAGCAGGCCCTGCAATCAGCTCGCGATGACGCCGGCGTGCCCAAGTCGTGGGTGACCCTGAACGCCCCGATGACGCCCGAGTACCTGGTCCTCCACTCGGGCACCGAGCCCAGCCAGTTCAGGCTGAACTAGGCGGCGAAGCAGTATTTGGACTCGTATCCCTGACCGTGGGATGTGGCACGTGGCCGCGATGGGAACGCTCCGATAAGCACGCCAAGATAACCTGCACTTACACCCCACTTAACCTGGCGGATCCGCCGACCGTAGACTAGCCGACATTGTGTTGTCTGCACAATAAATTAAAAACTTATCCAGCGCTTAATCCGAATGACATTCATTGCCAGCCAGCCGTCGGCCTGGGTCAACAGAAGCCCCTGGCCCCTGTCCAGAGCTCCAGGCATTCGGAATTTACATTTTCCGGGCTCCCGCTTAATGCTTAACACCTCAACACGCGGACCCACCCCGCCAAGAGCTCTTCATTAATTTTAACATAAATTGTTGTATAGAAATTTTATGCCACGCGGAGCGTTAAGTGTGATCCGACCAAAGGAGGGCGGAAGCGGAAAAGGGGCGGGGCAGGAGTTGCAGAAGGACAGGCGCCTCTAATGGATTTTTCAAACATCGCCAACTGCTGTGCTCTTAATGGGCACATCCCTGACGACATTGTTCAATTGACACACTTGCAGGGAAGGTGGCAGCTTTAATTGGGGGAGTTCAAGGGCCCTGCGGTTTTGGGTCATGGCATACCAATTATAATTAATAATATCAAAAAGGTTTTCTATTTATTACACAAGGTACCGCTATACGCGCTCTAACTTCCAAGAAAACATGTGGAGAATAAGCAAAAGCCGCAGCTTTTCGTGTTCCTAGAAAAATTGATATATGCCGTGTCTAGACAATAAATAGGCGTACTTCCCCTGGCAGAACCTCCAGACTTCACTGAGAAATGGAGCTAAGTCGGTTCGTGTTCGTAGCACTACTCAACTTCTTACCCTTTGGATGCAGCAAGATGGTTGATTTTTGCCAGCTGCCCTACTGCGGAATAAATAACCTAGCCTGCAGAAATCCATCTGTGAGTAGCGGACAACAATCGGAACAAACGATGTCAGTGAAATTGTGTATCTGTGTATCTCAGAAATTCAGCGTCATGTGTCCATCGAATGCCAGAACTCTTTCCATGTCGACCTACCGAAATGTATTGCTAAGTGCCTTTAATGAGTTTCGCAACTTTACGGCGAGCGGAAAGCAAAAGTATCTCAAGGCAGCAGCGGCACGTATGTCCCGATTGAGTTACTCAGTGGAACTGGAGAACCTTGCCCGACTGGCGGTCATCACGTGCTCCGCGCACAAGTTCTGCCTGAGCTCACCGGAATTCTATTCCGTGGGCACCAATACAGGTTCCACCTGCTATTGGGGTAGCTTAAACGACTACGAGGACCTGGAACTCATGTTGCAGACTATCCAGGATTGGACCGGATATGCGGACTACATCAACATTAAAATGGTCCTCTATATGCCGACTACTTTGGAGAAAAGGTGGGTAATAAGGCTACTAGAGCAAACTGTTGAACGATATCTTTTCAGGGAAGTAGCAAAAGCCCTACTCCTGATGGCAGACCGGAACACCCATGTGGGCTGTGCGGCCATGAGATTCACAGTGGACTTCGTCCACAACTTCGTCTTCCTGTGCGCCTTCAGCACCGATCTCTTCGTGGAGCGCCCCATTTACCTGATGTCTAGTAAACCAGGAACTGCGTGCCAGCGGCTGGATCCCACATACTCAGCGCTTTGTGCTGCTGGGGAAAACTACGACAACAATAAACCCGTGGCGCAGGCAAGGGTATTCCAGTTACCCCTTGATGTATCCATTGCTCGCCAAGCTTACGTGCCAGCCACATAGACCAAGCTTTAAGTAAACTTTTGAATTCGCGCAGCAGAAACTAGTTTTTGTTTCTCCAGTTTTTTTAGAGTGCCGATGGCCAGACAAAAGTACACGCCCCTGGATACCCAAGCGAAATCAGCGCACAAAAACAAATAGTTAACACCCAGACATGGTCATGAAGGAGGAGCACAGAGGAGCACCAGCAGCAGGAACAGACATTTCAGCGCAGCCTCGATAATCACAGGACACATTTGCATACAAACACGCTTCCGGGCTGATGTCCTTCGCATGCAAATGAAAACATTAGCGAGACACACGCGCATCCGCATCCGCATCCGCGTCCGCATCTGCGAAATGCAGATACAAGGCCAGGGACAGATTCAGAACCAGATACAGATACAAATGGCATTCGTCGCTGTCGCTGCTGCCTCTTCCCTGCTCAAATATATATTTCAATTAAAATTTTACACACGAATAAATGCAAAGCCACGCCCAGCACATTAGATCCCCCGGTCACTCCTCCCGCCCTTGCGGATGCGAATGCGGAAGCTCCGCTGGCAGTGTCCAACTTGTGTCGCTTGTTTATGAGCGTCTGAAGGCCACGAGTGCAGACAGCAGACAGCAGACACGGACATGGCCATAAAACGGTCCCAGTTTATCGGGAGGGTGTTCGAGGTGCAGATACGTTGCGGACTCGGATGGGGCACAGGGATCAGCGCATTCGGGAAGGCAGCCAATGGAGCATGCTGCTGAATGTCCACCGAATTATTCAAAAGCTTCACGGAGGAGACGGAGCAGCGGATCCCATGGAGCGATGAAACGATGAGTTTGGCATTGTGACAAGACGAGTTGGCTGTCCCAAAAGGGCCAATCATGGACGCGAGGGTATGGGCATAAAGTGCTCTTGGTGTGTACATAAAGAAATTAGTAGGGAGGATGGGTGTGGGATATCATATCATATCCTTAATGCCTTAATGAGTAAGACCCATTGGAACGGTCTGAAATACGCATTCTAAGCATTCAACTTTCAAATGCCTTATCATATTATTTAGTGGATGCACCGCTCATTTTTCTGCGGCTGTCTCTTAATCCGGCATCATCCGGCTGCATCTCCATTTCGAGAGCAGCCCAGAGTCAACCATGAACTTGAACTTGCGACTGTAATAATAATAATGCAGATCCCGACTGCCACTCCCTGTGCCTCCCCACTTTCAGTTGGAGCTGGGCAGCCTTTATTCCTTTTTCATAGCCAGTGCATCCTCAAATCTGTCCTCCGTTTGTCTGCGGCCATTGTCTGGCTTGCATTTCAAATTCTAAGCAAATTTGTCGACCCAGGAGAGGGGTGGGGAGGAGCTGCAGGATCTGATTCCTGGGTGTGAGCAGGCGCAACATTTTATGAGCGTGCCCGCGATGCAGCGAGCCAGATATGACCAGCAAACGTCTGCTTGGCGGACTCCAACTGCTCCAGTTTCCAGGGAAACCTTTTCAATGGCTTTTGCTTTTGCACTCGCAGAAAAGGGCAAGGCAAAAATCCCTCGGAAAATGTTATGAACGCAATTGATTTGAGAACCCTTCAAAATATGATAATCTGAATATTGCGGTTGAAGTAAAATGTATGAGGAAGGAGAATTATAGTTTAGTTCACTGAAATATTGACTTGTCGGTAGAAACTGAGCATCTTGAATTGCCGCACTCGACTGGTACTCTTTCGCGCAGTGTTGGTGGACTGCTGCTGGTCTGCAATGGTGTTGCGTCTGCTGCTGGCACACAAAGATGTCCCGGTGTGATTTATCGCCGGCAGAGCCGGGATAATGGCCACGTATTATAATATCTGGCGCGCCCACAGGGCGTATGCTTATCGGAGTCGACACCGCCAACGACAAGGACGACGATGTGGCCGTCAAGGTCTAGACTCTAGACTCCTGCGGTGCAGCTGGTGGCAGCGCCAAGGAATTCGCACTCCGTTGGTCCTTCGTCCTTGCAGTTTCATTTGCATTTCCCCGTGCGCGGAAAACTGCATGCAGTTTATTAAATAGAGACGGCGCTGAAAAAAGGGTCTGCGATGAATTAAGTACATCATTTCGAGCCAGCTTGATTGTCCGCCGCTTTTGGCGCATATCCTGTGGGCAGGAGTTGTGCACACTCGCAGTTGCCGGATTGTGTGCCGCAGCAATGTCTTCTCCAGCAGCTTGAATCGTGAGGCAAATACATAAAATCTACGCATCCATGTCTGCCTGCCTTTTGATGTGTGAGTGTATCTCTTGCCGCATCCTTTTCCACTTAATGCCGACTGCATTGTGCCCAGATACACACATGTGCATACGTCCTGGCTCGGCATTGTATGTATTTGATATCATTAAAATTTTCAGCTTGCCACTGCAGTGGCAGCCAAAGAAGCAGAACCAGCAGCAGCAGCAGCAGCAGCAGCAGCTTGTCCTTGCCATTGGTCCTCGCCATTGTCCCGTGGTCCTTTCCCGGCCCCTGATCCTTCGACCGTCTGGCCAAATATGAATAGCAAAGTCTAGCAGTCTCCCCGAAAAAAGAAGGAAAACTATGCATTTATGATATGTATTTCAAGTTTATTTGTTCAACGGACTTTGCACTGCTCGAGCGAGTTAAAATATTTCTGCATGTATGCACAAGTTTTGGGAATTAGGAGGAATCCAGATTGAATCGAGGTGGGGAGATTTCGTGCCTTTCTTGCCACCGCTTTAAATTTTACTTACTGCTTAAAATGCCGAGAGATTCGTCGGAATCCCTCAAAGAGCAAGGAAAAAGCAACAACATGCCCAAAGTGAAGTTTAATTAAATTTAAATCCAAATGGGACTTAATATCGCAGTCTTTTCGTTCATAATTAAAAAATACGCAATATCCGATTTTTCAATAACCGAGTGGGGGAAAAAGTGAGCAGCATAAGGAAAAAGTCCTGCTGATGTCCCCTTCACGGCCATGGCCACCGCCATCGCGGAATCCCATTGCCAGGACGAGAATCCGATTCGGACGAGTGCGACTGATAGGCGACGACAAGGACACCGACTGCCGGTTGCAAAGGACAAGCGGGCGTAACTCAATCTGCGGATGTGCAAAAAAGGATGCCGCAGGACAATGATAGCAGAATGTGCTCAGTCCTGCCAAAGTAAAAGCGCTGCAAAAACTCCCACAAAATAAAACCAATCTGGTGGCCATTTGCTTATATACCCTGTATAAAATTGAGTCGCATCCATAAGGGTTTTGGGAAAAAGTCAGAACAGAGGATATATGGGATATTATTGCAGGAATACGCATATTTCTAACGATATTCTAACGATCTGGATGGTGTACAATCATTAAGGACTATACGAGTATATGTTCACTTTTCATAGACCTTTCTTCTTTCCCAGATTACTTTTCTATATCAAATTGAGGGGAACCCTCAAGTCCATAGATGGCGCGCCACTACTAAGCCGCTTCAATTGTTTTCCTTTTTACTCGGTTTTCGGAGTAAATTAAAAAGTAAATTTCCGCGCAGAGGGCGCATCTTCTCGCCCAGCCAATAATTCAATCAATTTATTTGCACTTTAATGCAGAAATTGGTGGGAAATATCGGGGTTGGATAGGGGGTCGATATGTCTGTATACAAGTATATATATACGTGACCGTAAAGCTTTCGCTGGCCGGCGGAGAAAGCGCGAATAAAAACGAAATCAATTATGTTGGAACTTTTTTGAGCGCCAGTACCGCTGTCTATGTTGTAATTAATACAAAATGCTCTGTTCCGAGACAGGCGAGGGAGTGGAAAGGGGTGCGGGGATCGTTATAGCCGGGGGCATGCCAAAAGTTGAGTCCTTGCCGCAGTGCCGTTGCCCCAAACTCAATTTGATAAAAATTTCATTTGCAATTGCCGACGCCGTCGTGGCAGTTCCTTTTTCCACAACTTGCGGGAGTGGACAGTTGGCCAGGACTCGCACGATTCGCAGGACTCCCCTTCGCCGCCGCCAATTGTTGTGTTTATTAATTTAATTTGACAGTCGCGAGTGCCTCGCACGTTGCCACTTCGCCTTGGGCCATTCCGCAGCAGCTGTGGACGCTTGTGGTTTTCCAAAAGGTTGTGAAAGGGCATTTTGGTGGAATGGCTTCGTTTTGTGGTCTATACTGCGGTCCGCATTAGTATCTAGACGAGGAGAGCAGGCAGCGGATACAGCGGATGGCTGGCACGCTTTATTTAGTCAATATCCGTTAACCATTTCAATCCATCCATTTGCTTATGGCCATTTCATAATCAATGGGACATTCGCTGAAGTCCCTGGCATCGCGTTCAGCAGAACTATTCAATGAATCAATCGAACGGATCAAGTGGGAGACTTAAGACCAACCTGAAGACTCGACGCTAAAGATATTCTATAATCGTGTGTTAATTCTTAAACTGAAATGATGTATAAAATTACATTTTCATTTAGTAACACCTGCAAGTGTACCATAAATATTTAACATATGATTCAAAAACTTTGGTGCGCTTTTTAGTTTCAATTACACCAAACATGAACTTAAACTCTCTGGCCTCTGCAATTTTTCCGATTAGCGCCGCGATTTGTTGTCAGTTAACTTCGCACGTATTCCGCATCGAGGTAGGTGGAAACTTGATAGCTAAGGCCCTTTCCTCCTTCTTCTGACCACTATCCAGAATGAATCCCAGTCGGCTGGACAGACGCTCTTAGTTAAGCGGCGCATGTGGCTGGCACATTTGTCAACCGGCAGCGAAGTCGGCAAAACATCAACGCCAACGCAACTAAACTGGGCAAAAACCCAGCTGCCTGAGGAGCGAGTGTTAAATGGCAGATATATATGTATATATACCCGATCCGATCCGAGCCGAACTGATCCCCTGGGCGCTGAGCTATAACAAATTTATGGGTTTGGGAAGTCTCGCGCCGGCGACATGCGATGCATGCCAAGCGCCTTTGCAATTGCTGTCAATTCGCCGCCCGGCAACTTGTTGGCCGGGTCAAAACGAAACGGTTCGGGCCAAGATGCGACTTTGGCAGCATGTTGGCAGAACGGACAGGTATTGCATTTCAGCTGCACTGGGACCGAACACAGAGTGAACTAGTTTCGACTTGCTTTTGAATACTGCCCAGTGTTGCAGTTGTCTATCACTTGGTGGTGGCAACTTTGTTGGACCGAAAACTTTGTTGCACTTGAACTTATGCCCCACGGTTATTTGGCTAATTATTCGCTTGGCCACTTTGTTGCAGCTTCCCCCCTCGTATAATTCACAAGAAGAAAAAAAAAATTCCAGCAACAATAGCTGAAGCAGCCAGCGAAGAAGAAGTACGATCTCGTTGAAAGTTTAACAAGTGTTAACTTTGCCATTTTCATTTTCATTTTCATTTCCTTGGGTTTTATTTTGTATTCATTTCGCGCAGATAAGCTGGGAAATGAGCAAAGAAAATGCTGCTGGGCGGATTGGGGGAGATTCTGGATTCTGGATTCTGGGCCAGCTGCCGCTGAGCAACTACAGTGAAA